TCTTTACACCGATCCCGTATTCATGTAAAATTTCCCGGTGTTCGGGCCATAATTACGGCCTCTGGAGCGACCAGAAAAACGGACAAAAATTTAGTAATTGGTCCATTTCATCCCCTAAATATTAACCGATCTTTACCAAAAACAATATGGGTCTTCATTGGCCAGAACCCATCCTACATGCAAAATTTCGTGAAGATTGGTGCATGACTGTGGCCTGTATTGTCTTTAGATCGACTCAGTCTACGACTCATGTCTAGATCGACTCAGGTAGTCGAGATATGACGATCGGTATACTTAAAGGTCTGTCTGGGACCAATATTACGCGGCGTTACAAACTCTTGGGGCTGCAAAAAGCTATAATACCCTGACAACATAGTTGTGTAGGGTATAAAAAGATCGGAAATAAATTGTTTTATTCCACTCCGCCTTCATGGCTATTTGTTTGCTATCATAATAACCAACCGAATCACGTCACAATATTTTAATTCCACCTGGAACAGGATCTACTACACAAAATTACTTCGGATTGTTAATCTCTTGGCAAGGCCATACGTACGCATTGTGTTTTGAACTTTTAATAGTTCATTTGGGGTTTTAATGTTTTGTTTTGGTTTTTTAATGTTTCTGTTTTTATTCTGTTTGTATAAAAATGGAAGACAGTTGCCAGAATGATATCAGTTCTTAATTTCATTCATTCAATACAGACCATCTGAAAACAAAATCTCAAAAACTTTACAAAATGTTCAAGTTGGTAGGTTTAAAAATAAAAATAGTTTTTTCAATGAATTTCTAAATAATATTTCCCATGTTCTGCCTTAGGTGGTATTGTCTGCTCTTCTCGCCGTAGCTGCTGCTCGTCCCGGTCATTTGGAAACACCTCTCTTCTATTCTGCTGCTCCAGCAGCCACTGTTACCGTTCAGGAATCGTCATTGGCTCATGTAGGTAATGTGGTAAAGAGTGTACCCTCTGCTGTGTCACACCACAGCAACAGTGTTGTCCACAGCAGTGCCAATGTTGTGGAAGATGTCTACAGTCCAGCTGTTAAGACCACATCGTATACAACCAAGACTTTGGCTACACCAGTTGTAGAAACCTATGCCGCTGCTGCACCTGTGGTACAAAGTTATACTGCTGCCGCCGCTGCTCCTTTGGTACAAACCTATGCTGCTCCATTGACCCATACTTATGCTGCTGTTCCAGCTTATTCAACCTATGCTGCTTCAGCTCCATTGACTTATACAGCCACTGGTGTATGGTAAACATTGCGAAAAGACTTTAAAGAAGGTGTTTCGAAAAATTGACTATGGATTTGAAAAAAAAAAAACAGTTATGTTGGAGGATATTGAAAACGATTTGTTATAAATTTGAGTAATAATTGCGAATAAAAAATTACGTTTATTTATTAAAAATCTGTTGTTTTTATTTTTTAATTTCAAAAAAAAGTATAAGGAAATCTGAATAACCAATATATATCAAAGGACAAGGTAATTCTTGGATATTTAATCAATGATATTATAATATTTATGAGTGAGCATTTTAGACATATTTTTAAAGGACTATCAATATCAATTTTTTAAACATGGACATTTTTAGAGGACTATTTAAAAACCAAATTTGCCAGACTTTCACTCGTGGATTTCTTAAAATTTTATTTTTTATACCCTTCACCACACTGTGGTACAGGGTATTATGTCTTTGTGCATGTGTTTGTTACAGGCAAAAGGAAACGAGATAGACACATGGTTCCTTTTGAGAATATGCATAGAATCACTTTCTGAGTCGGTTTACGCATGTCCGTCTGTCCGTCCATGTATTTTTGTGAACAAAGCACAGGTCGCATTTATGATCCGATTTGGATGAAATTTGGCATAGGTTACTTATTTGGTCCAAGGACGAACCCTATTGAAATTGGGAAAAATCGGTTCAGATTTAGATGTAACTCCCATATATATTTTCGTCCGATTTAATGTAAATGGTGCTCTAAAGTCGTTCTATATCATTCGATTTGCACGAAATTTGGCACAGCGTAATGAATAAGGTCTAGAATAATGGGTGTTCATGTTCATGAAAATCGGTTCAGATGTAGATATAGCTCCCATATATATTTTCGCCCGATTTAAGGTAAATGGTACACCAATATCCGTATATATATATATATATATATTTGCACGAAATTTGGCACAGCGTAATGAACTAGGCCTAGAATGATGTGTGATAAACTTCCTGAAAATCGGTTCAGATTTAGATATAGCTCCTGTATATATTTTCGTCCGATTTAATACAAATGGTGCACCAAAGTCTCTTAATATCTTTCGATTTGCACGAAATTTGGCACAGAGTATTGAATTAGACCTAGAATGATGTGTGTTAAGTTTCGGTTCAGATTTAGATATCGGTTCAGATTTAGATATAGCTCCCCAATATATTTTCGTCCGATTTAAGGAAAATAGTGCACCAACGTCCCTATATATTTCCGATTTGCACGGCATTTGCACAGCGTAATGAATTAAGCCTAGAATGATGTGTGTTAGATGCGTGAAAATCGGTTCAGATTTAGATATAGCTCCCATATATATTTTCTTCCGATTTAATATAAGTGGTGCACCAAATATATATCTTTCGATTTGCACGAAATTTGGCATATTGTACTGAATTAGGTCTAGAATGGTGTGTGTGAAATTTCCTGAAAATTGATTTCGATTTAGATATAGCTCCCATACATATTTTCGTCCGATTTAATGTAAATGGTACACCAACGTCCCTATATATCTTTCGAATTGCACCCAATTTGGCACAGCGTAATGAATTAGGTCTAGAATGATGTGTGTTAAGTTTCGTGAAAATCGGTTCAGATTTAGATATAACTCACATATATATTTTCGTCCGATTTAATGTAAATGGTGCACCAAAGTCCCTATATATCTTTCGATTTGCACGAAATTTGGCACATCGTAATGAAGGGAATATGGACAAGTTATTAGAAGGACTGAGTCGATCTAGACATCTGTGTCCCTCCGTCAGTCCGTCTGTCCATTATAATTTGTAAAGACGATACAGGCCACAGTCATGGACCAATCGTCACGAAATTTTGCATGTAGGACGGGTTCTGGTCAATGAAGACCCTTATTGTTTTTGGTAAATATCGGCTAATATTTAGGGGATGCAATGGACCAAATACTAAATTTTTGTCCATTTTTCCGTTCGCTCCAGGGGCCGTAATTAGGGCCCGAACACCGCGAAATTTTACATGGAGGACGGGATCGGTCTAAAGATTGGTCAATATTTAGCTTGTAAAATGGACCCTGACTTTTGTGTGAGAAATTACAAAATTTGCATTCTATGGCGTATATATTTGCCCCTGAAGGTCATAGAGCCGATAGTATATCCAACAGGATTGGTTGACCTTTAAATTGATGCCAATATAATTGGCATAAATATGTACTCGGATGTGGGAGTTACACTTAAATATTTATAGGTTCTTACGTATTCAGATATTATTTAGTAACCCATTACCACACTGGAGGAATATAGAGCTGATTGCTTTGAAATGTTCCGTGTGAATGGAATCTGGACAATTAATTAGAAGGGCTGTACTGAATATTAGTAATATTCGGAAAATATGTCAGTATAAGGAAGAGTTTCTGTTGACTTCTAATCGGGCAAGAGAGTGCAACTATCACGAAATATTGCGCAGGCACGGAATAAAAATCCTTACAAAGTTAGTGTTGAGTGGTAGTTGTGTAGAGTATCGTATGTTCGGCCCCGTCCTACTATACTGCTCCGCTCACTATTTTTAAATGTGTTTTTAAAGATTGGTCTGAGCGTGATTTTTTTAAAAATATTTTTATTTAAGTCTGTCCAAAAGCATTGATTGTTTGAAATTAGTCCATAAGAAAAAAAATTCTTTTTAAGGTTTTTCCATAAATGTGGATATTTTTAAAATATTTTTAAGGCCTGCCCAAAGCTTGAGTTAAAAAAATATATAGGCTGTCCAAAACACGTATTTTTATACCCTACACAACTATGTTGTCAGTATATTATAGCATTGTGCAGCCTCAAGAGTTTGTAACGCCGTGAAATATTGGTCCTAGACCCACCTTTAAGTATACCGATTATCATATCTCGACTCGCTGAGTCGATCTGGACATGTCTGTCCGTCCGTGTGTCCGTTATAATGTGTAAACACGATACAGGCCGTGTATCGTAGGATGAGTTCTGGCCAATGAAGACCCCTGTTTTTGTAAAAGATCGGTTAATATTTATGAGGGGAAATGGATCAAATACTTAATTTTTTCGGTTTTTCTGGTCGCTCCAGAGGCCGCAATTATGGCCCGAACATCGAAATTTTACATGGAGAAGGGGATCAGGCCAAATAATAAGCATTCCTATTTTGATAAAGACCGGTAAAATTAACCTTGATTTTTGTGTGTAAAATAACAAAATGTTTATCCTATGGTGTATATATTTACTCCTGAAGGATATAGACCTGAGAAGTTGATAGCATATCCAAGAGGAATGGTTGACCTTTAAATTGATACCAATTATATTGTCGTATGTAGATTTACAGGTTCTTACGTATTCAGATATTGTTTACTAACGCTGATCGCTTTGAAATTTTCCATGAGGTTCCAGTTATGGTCAAATAATTTTCGGTTATGATTAGATAGTAATAGTGGGTCGAAAACTTAATTATAAGCCGAACATCAAAACACAAGGGAATCTGGGCAAGTAATTAGAAGGGATGTAGTAAATATTAGTAATATTCGGAAAGTTTGTCAGTGTAAGGAAGAGGTGCTGTTGTCCTCTAATCGGACAAAATGGTGCAAATATTACAAACTATTGCCCAGGCTCGGAATAAACATCCACATAAAGTTAGAGTTCCGTGATAGTTAGATAGATGTAGGGTATCGTATGGTCGCGCCCGTCCGACTATACTGCTCCTGTTAAATTGTACAGCGACTGCAATCATAACAGCTAGATCATCAATTCAATGTCTGAACTTCACGATTCGAAAGTACATAGCACATAAAAAATAAATTTACATTCGCCTCCTCTTGAATTTATTGCAGCATCTAATTAACATTTTTTTATTAATGAAGTGAAAAAATGTCGTCATTGTCTGCCTCTGCACAGACGTTGCATGGATGTAAATCATTTGCAATTCATTTTTTTCATGATGTTGCTGCGTAAATCTCTTGTAGTTTAATTCAGTTCAATGTTCCGCGAAACTGAAGGTCAAACAGCATTAAAGAGAGGTAGATTTTAACGGTATTTACAGATATGGTGCAGGAAATGCAGTTTTTCAAGAATATAAAAGCACTCATTGCGTTAGTGATAGTCTTTAGAAACTAACTATAGAAAAAAATCCACGCTTATAGATATTAAAAAAAAGCACTTATCAACATTGCGTTAAAAAGATATTGTAATTTTGCAATCAAAAACAAAAAATCAGACACTCACATTTACATTTTATAAAATCTACGATTATATTTTCTTTTTAAAAACCACTTTTATAAAAATCATAAAAAATATTTTGAAAACATCCGCCTTTAGAGAAAAATTTATAATATATAACATCTCAAAAACCCACGCGTATTGAAAGACCTTAAAGAAATATTTATGGAAAATTTATCGAAATTTTCTGCCTTAATATTTAAAAAATTCACCATTATAGGCACACATTTAAGTATTTTCGCAAAACCCGAACCCAAAGAAAGGCTTTCAAAAATAGTTATTAAAATATTTACGCTTAATGTTTACTAAAAAATAAAAGTCACACACGTATCTATAAATAAATTGTAAAAAATAACAAAATATTTAAATAAAGTTAACTCCTTTGTAACCATAGTCAATGTTTACACGAATGAATTGCTTGTCTGTGTGTATATACATACATATGTGGATAATGACAATATTTACACACAACGAGGCAAATTGATATTCTCCGTGTTTTAAATATCTGACAAAACAATTATCCTTTGCATTTGGTTATTAAAACTGGGGATGGATGATATGTTAACAAATTGAATTGTTCAGATGCGTGTGCCATGGAAAAGGGTGTACCCTTTCCATTGTTGTTGTTGCTGCTGCTCGTTTTAGTAATGTTTTTCCTAAGTACTAGAAAATGATGGTCCTAATAAGTTTATATTTTAATCCTGTTGTTTGTTTGTTGACAACAGCCTTTGTTTATCCTTGTCCAGTTAATTCAGCCTGACCTCAGATTTCCGCGTGATTGCCTTACGGTGACAATCATTATTTA